AACCACAACCAAGTGGATCAGTGAAAAAAAAAGGAAAAAAAAGGAAAAAGAAGCAAGAGAAGGTCAATTGCTACAAAAGCTACCAACAATCTCCAGCTGTTTTAAAAGTCGCGAGTCGCGACGATAACCGACCTTCTCATCTGAGCTGCTTCAGCACTCAAAACACCTGACCGAGTGACCAGATGACCAATCAAATCGCAGTAGGCGGGCTTTATGCTCACAGAAGTGCGAGCCGAGCGCGAATTCCAGCACGACGCACTTCACGCCTCAGTTAACGGTCATACTGTGCGAGATAAGAGGCAAAATGGCTGTTTTAAGATTGAAGTTTTAAGCGACCGACAAAAATAATCAGTTTGCAAAGATTGTATCAATCAAAGCTCAGCTTTGGGAAGGGAAGATATACAGGTCAAGATCATGGTCAAGATAAAGAGACTGAGAGAAGAAAGAGAGAACGAGATGGAGATGAGAGAGGAAGAGCAGGTATTGCATACTGAATGAATTCATACGAGTTGTTTAACTCGTAAAATATGTACGATTTAGTAAAACGTTAAAAGAAAAAGAAAAAAATGTGGCGAAGAGGGCCTTTGAGACATCCGTGCCCAGGACACATCATCGCCATAATCCGTCCCTGCGCTGGTTTCTCAGCTGAGAGGCTTTGGGTAACGGAGATGGGTGAAGTCTTGCTTTTACACTTGACCCACAAGCAGTGCTAGTTTTAACTCAAATGCTTTTATGTGGGAATACATGTCACATATTAGTTTCCCCTTCCCTTGGAGCTGCAAGTTGAGGCCGTTCAACATTGGTCACATCTGTTAAAAAGGCAAGGTCCCATTTACATTCTCTTTCAATCAGTTCTGGGACCGTTTTGCCCCTTGTCAGAAGAAAGGCTTGATTTTGGGTAGCAGCTCGTAAAAACGCCTCTCAACTCTTCCCCGGCTTAACCATCGGACTGTTGTGTGGTAAAGCACATCTCGGTGAGCAGACTCGGAGAGAAAGGCTTGGAACTGCCTGTGTTTAAGTCCGTTTGCACTGATGAAGCTTATACATGAGACCACCACCTTCATGATCGATTCCCACTTCAGAACATTGCAGCAGTGAGACCTCTTTCCTCCTTTTCTCTATCCTATTAGTCCCATTGACGCGCCAACCACACTAGGAGTCCATTAGTCGTGATGCTGTTTAGACCGGTCTAGATCCAACTCTCCCATCTTTTGGCACACTTTACCAAACATATCCTCCCCTGTCTTAGTACCTCTGAGACTTTGTAGGGCTGCCATCTCCTCCTCGGACACTTCAAAGTTTGAGCTAACTCCGCGAAGAAAAATTAGCAGCTGTTCTGTGTCCTGTACGTCATTGTTCTCATCCAGTGCCAATGCGAAAAATTCAAAGTCTTTCACTTTGTCCTGCAGCTGGGCATATACATTATACCCCATTTCTTCAATTGGCCTGGTGTTTGTACTTGCCGATAGACTCACCGCATTTAATACTTCTTTCTTATGCCTGCAGTGCCTGTCGACAAGGTTCAAATCCCACTTGGAGTGGTGCATTTAGGACCAGTTACATTACAGATACCAATACGGTGGCCGATATATCGTGCATCCATATTAACAAGACCTTTAAATGTATTTGTTTTTCATGAAGTAGATGCAGTAGAGGGTTAAGCTCATGCTGTCTTAACTTTTCATTGTGTTTACTCTGACCTTTTGCAGCTGGCCTTGTTGGCATCTGCACTGTAAATAACCATCTATTTTCATTCTATCCTGCCTGAAATCATCTTTGAAAATATTACCCTAAGCAGTAAGTCTTGTAATGTTGCTTTCTTGAGAGGAACTTTGCAGTCAGTGGCAGGATAAGCAAAAACCGAATGCCTCTGGCAGACTCAAGTCATGTTTTGAATGCCAGAGAGTTAAGTTTGCATAAATGCTTGCATGTCAACGGGAATTTGAAAACCCACATGTGGGTGTGTTGTTGGGTTTTAGGAGAATTTATACCTACTTCCAGCTCGCCTCAAAGAGTCCAAAGGCTGTCAAGGGCTTTTGGGTTTTGCCATATGATGAGAGACTGCATCAAAGCTGGGAAACACTAGCAGAGCTTTATCTTCCGAAAGGCAGTTCTGTACCTCCCCAACCATTCTGCTGCCTTAAAGGGTTCGTTCACCCAAACTGTAAACTCTATCAGTAATTACTCTCCCTCATGTTGTTCAACCCCGTAAGACTTTCGTTCATCTTCGGAACACAAATTAAGATATTTTTGATTAAATCCAAGAGCTGTCTCACTCCTCCATAGGCTTCTAAGGGATCGAAACTTGCCGGTCCAGAAAAGTTCTTAAAGACATCGTTAAAATAGTCCGAGTGACTACAGTGGCTCAACCTTAAGTTTATCAAGCGACGAGAATACTTTTTGTGCGCAAAAAACAAACAAAAATAACGACTTTATTCAACTCTTCATTTCCTTCTCTGTTGGCCTCGAGTGAGTTCACGTAGTGTAACAGCGCAGCGCTTCTGTGTTGTACGTCACACGTAGGCTCACTATTGGCCGACGCTAGTCATGTGTGATGCGTGTGACGGACAACACAGAAGTGCTTGGACTATTTTAACAATGTCTTTAAAGGTGAACTAAGTCATTTTTTTTTACCTTAACCGAACAGCTTTGGAGTCATTGTAATGTTTATATTACTGATTTCGTGTTGAATGGTGGTCGTCCCGCACCCCCCGGGTGCCTGTGAGCCGCAAAACCACCCTTGCAACTTTGGGTCGCCGGCCTCAGTGTTAGGAAGTATCATGTGATATCAGGTCTCGAGAGGTAACGAATTGCTTTACGGGAAAAAACAGATCTGATAAAATTCTGATAAAATGAGCATCAAACAGAAATAACCCGGCGCCGTATACATGTGGTGTTCAAGGCGCACATACAATACAGACTGCCGACAGTTAAACAGGGCGCGCGCAGCTCTTAAAGGGGCCATACCTTATTTCCACTCGTTACAGTGTCCATCCTACTGAACAGGTACCGGTGAACAGGGGGAGGGGATCCGGCCGTGAGTGCGAGCCATCTCTGCGTGAGTGCTATTCACGACAGTACAAGTACTCCACAGCGACTCTAGGGGTCGCTGTTTGACAAAAACTGAATTCCTACTTAGTGCTGCTTTAACTTTTCTGGGCCGGCAAGTTTCGATCCCTTAGAAGCCAATGGAGGAGTGAGACAGCTCTCAGATTTAATCAAAAATATCTTAATTTGTGTTCTGAAGATGAACGAAAGTCTTACGGGGTTGAACAACATGAGGGAGAGTAATTACTGACAGAGTTTACATGTTTGGGTGAACTAACCCTTTAACCCTTTCATTATGCATCGCTTTGCAATGAGAAGCTGCCTGAAAACTCATCTGTCAAACATATCATTGACTGTGTATGGTTGTAAACTTATTTCATGGTAACCTGCCTGGATTATTTGACACAAATCAAAAGTTGGCGCTAAACCAAGAGTAAAAGGTGAAGCGTCTGGCATAATTCCTCATAGATAAATATAGCTTATGCAACATGAGGCAGAGCCAACACTGGGTGTTATGCACACACACAACACTGCCGTAATGCTATGAGAGTCAGTCAAGCATTTAAACAGTCAAATTATTTTGTGAATATATAGTATTATTCATCAGTTAAATGTTGTTGCTCTAGACTTTCCACTAGTCATACTAAAATTGAATGTCTTTTGATTCATTTCTAAATAAAGTCCCCCTGTAGTCAATAATTTCATCCCATATAACTCATATTTGATCATCAAAATTACATATTTAAAGTTTTTTTCCTTGAAAAATAATTTTCTTCATGCCTTAAACCTTGTGTGGTTCCTCATGAATGAAAGTTAGAAATGTGGGTCTTTTATAAAGTGAATTTTAAATAAAAAGCTGTTTTTGTATAAAAACTTATTTTTTTTAAATATTTTTCATTTATTTATATAAATTTAAAAAATATTAAAAATCCTTTCAAAAACTGGACAAATCTGGAGTAAAAACATTAATGGACTGAGTAAAATTATATTTGTCTAAATCAAAAATTGTTACAAAATTACATTTTGTTTCCTGGGGTCTCTGAAGACCCTTAACAGCACAAGTCCCAAACGAACAGCACACAAGGGTTAAACTAGCTGAGACACTCGACACCCTTGCCTCATTTAGTATGCGCGGTTCTATGAATATGCAAATGAGCCCCGCCTCCACTCACTCACTCACTCAGAGATCCACTGGTTGACGATCACACGTTGATCTGATTGGTTACAAGGTCGTTTGTGACGTCAGAAACACCAGCGATTTCAAACCGTGTTTTTGAGACTGTCTTTGGTTCACTGCAGTTTTAAGCAGAAAATACTCAGCAATGCTGTCGACTTATGAACTTAAACATGGTGTGTCTTAAAGCATATTAAAAACACCACATAGACACATAAACAACATTTAAAAGCTAGATTTTCACCACAGGGGGACTTTAATTGGTGAAAGGAAACACTTTATAATTAATTAGTTAATGCATTAACCAACATGCTTTGGATTTTAATTAACATTAATTCAGATTAATAACTGCTGTATGTATTATTTTTCATTAATTCATGTTAACAAATGAAACCTTAAAGTGTTACCATATGTGTCTATGTGTGTGTCATATATCAGATTAAATTAAGCATAATCTTAAGACTCCAAAACTCATCTGAATGATTGGGTTAATGAGAAATTATGAATGACTATAGTCAAGTGCTTTGTGAAGAATTCAAGCAATACAGTTGCACCTGTTGCCTTTCTGACCATGAACTTTCCAGCAACACTTTTCCAGCTTTTTCCATCTTCGCTGACAATGACTCTCTGCTCCACTCACACATCCTAAACATTTGCTCAAACTGAAAGACTAATTCCACTCAACTGCGCACTTCACACACCCAAAGAAACACGGTCTAGGTTAACGGACGGAAGAAGTCCACACAATAACTGACTGCTTTTCCTTGTTTGGGCTTACCTTTCCCCAGGTCCGGTGTGGCTGTTCCAGGGCCATGTTTGTGTGTGTGTGTGTGTGTGTTGTGCTAAAGGCTTGTCCGCTGCTATACTGGCATTCCCGTGCCCTGCGTGTTCAGCTTGACATGAGTGAGAGTGTGTCCCGATAACTCTTGAGCGCAGGAGGTTTCCATTTATAGAGCCTAGAAAGCCACAAATAGTCCACAGACAGCAGGAGCCCGTGACAACAATAACACACACACCCGTCCGTGACGACGGGACCGTCCCACCGGGACTACCACAGATGATCATTCACTTTTGAGCTGTTAAAGGGATAGTTCACCCAGACATGTAAACTCTGTCAGTAATTACTCTCCCTCATGTTGTTCCCCGTAATACTTTCGTTCATCTTCAGGACACAAATTAAGATATTGTTGATTAAATCTGAGAGCTGGATCACTCCTCCGTAGGCTTCTTAAGGGTTTGAAACTGACCGGCCCAAAAGTTATGAAAGACATCGTTAAAATAGTCCGAGTGACTACAGTGGCTCAACACAGAAGCGCTGCGCTGTTACACTACGTGAACTCACTCAAGGCCCACAGAGAAGGAAATGAAGAGTTGAATAAAGTCGTTATTTTTGTTTGTTTTCTTTGCGCACAAAAAGTATTCTCGTCGCTTGATAAACTTAAGATTGAGCCGCTGTAGTCACTCGGACTATTTTAACGATGTCTTTAATAACTTTTCTGGGCCGGCCAGTTTCAATCCCTTAGAAGCCTATGGAGGAGTGAGACAGCTCTCAGATTTCATCAAAAATATCTTAATTTGTGTTCCGAAGATGAACGAAAGTCTTACGGGGAACAACATGAGGGAGAGTCATTACTGACAGAGTTTACATTTTGGGGTGAACTTTAAATAAAACGTGAAAGTGCTGTAATAATTGGGAGTTACTGCATTGGGTTGTATTTTTTTTGCTTCCTTCAAATTCGGTCTAAAACATTTACCCAACATTTGCCTATTAGCAAGAAATCAGTCCTAATGTCATAATGGGGTTTTTTTTCTGATATTTTTCTATTTAATTCAATAGCATTTACAATTCTGGTCAAAAGTTTGGAATAATAAAATTTGTAAATGTTTTTGAAAGTGTCTTCTGCTCACCAAGGCTGTATTTATTTGATCAAAAATACAGTAAAAATAGTGACACATTTTTAGAATGTGAATATATAGTAAAGTGTAATTTATTCCTGTGATTAAAGCTGAATTTTCAGCATCATTACTCCAGTCTTCAGTGTCACATGATCCTTCAGAAATCACTCTAATATGATGATTTGATGCTCAAGAAACATTTATCATTATTATCATTGTTTTACTGGTAACATTTTACAATAAGGTTAATTTGTTAACATAATGTATTAACTAACATGAACTAACAATGCATTTATTACTGTGTTTGTTAATCTGTGTAAACATTAGTTAATGAAAATCTGTTCATGTTAGTTCACAGTGTATTCACTAATGTTAACAAATACAACTTTTGATTTTATAAATGTATTAGTAAATGTTGAAATTGACATTAAGAAAGATTAATAAATGCTGTAGAAGTATTGTTCATTATGTTAACTAAAGTGTTACCGTACTTTTATTGAGCAAGGACACATTAAATTGATCACAAGTGTCAATAAAGGCATTTATAATGTGACAAAAGATTTATATATAAAATTCTATGTTATTTCACAATATTACTGTTTTTACTGTATTTTTGATCAAATAAATGCAGTCTTGGTGAGCAGAAGAGACTTAATTATACGTTTGAAATTTTAATTATTTCAAACATTTGACTGGTAGTGTATATATTATACCAGCATATATTAATATATAAATATATACATACATACATACATATATAGGCCAATATTAAAAGCATCCAAATACTTTAAAAAAAATTAGGTCACTGTAGACTTAATAGTATCAAATAAAATGTTTATAAATATTGAATTATGGAAGACTTTACATATTCAGATTTTAACAAACAAACACCAAACAATATATAATAGTTTTCTGCTGTAGAAACTAATTAATCTCTGACTTTGAGACAGATGCTTGTGTGTGGCTCTGGGGCTCGTCTTCATCCTTCTGAAACCTCATCAATCCTCATGCCAAGGTTTCTAAATTGTCTGTAAAAAAATAAATTAATTAAAAAGACTATAGGGAGGAACAGTGATGGATATGATGAAGAATACTGCAACAATACCAGCTTTCTCTACAATAACGTCTTGATATCATATCATTTGGATTTATTCCTATATATATATATACCGGTATACACACACACACACAGGTGAAACTCGAAAAATTTGATTATCGCAAAAGGTCATTTATTTCAGTAATTCAACTTAAAAGGTGAACCTAATATATTATATAGAGTCATGCAAAGTGAGATATTTCAAGCCTTTATTTGTTATAATTTTGATGATTATGACTTACAGATATGAAAACCTTTCCACAATTTGGGGTTTTCATAAACTGTAAACCATAATCATTACAATTGTAACAAATAAAGGCTTGAAATATCTCGAGTCTATATAATATATTAGGTTCACCTTTTAGTGAATTACTGAAATAAATGAACTTTTGTACGATATTCACATTTTTCGAGTTTCACCTTCCTACTGTTAACAAAAATGACGTAATATACTGTGATAAGTTGTGAAACGCCTGCATTAATCTGGTCTTCTGTATGAGGGATGTTGCTTTATGCCGTTCTCGTTTAACTCAGGATTAATCAAACAAATTAGCATCTGCTTTCCTGAACACACACATCAATATAACAAACAGCACCTTTAACCTTACATTCACGGCCGCTGTGCTTGATCAATGACGACCGAATCACGACATTACTCTTCTATTGTAGACGCTGCCTCCAAATCAATCGTTCTCTGTAAACTCCAGAGATTTTAAAATGAGTTTATACTGTTGTCAGGAGAATGTGTTCAGTGAGCTATAAAGCAAAGCGTGCGTGAACCGTTCTCGTCTGTTCTACTGTGCTGGAAACGGAGAAAGCTTCACATGTCCCGGGAGGCTGACAGGAATGGGAAAAGAAAGGTGGAAGAAAAAACAAACCACCCCCTGGCTAATCAGTAAACATGGGTCGTACTTCAACCGCCTGGCTTATTCAGCGTACAACTTCACAATAATTTGAGTTTCCAAACAAATCTATTTATTATTCTGGTGCGCGTCCACCTCGTGTGATTATTCTTAACCCCGCCGGTCTAAAGCGCGGCGTGTTGTGTGTGTTCTGGCCTCAGCTGGTCCTGTCCGTCACTCAGCGAGCCGTTATAAGCCTCCTAATGCTGGAATAATCACTCGTAACCTCGAGTCATGCCTATCCCACTGACACGATCCCCTCGCCACACTGGGATGATCCTGTCTCTCTCTCTGTGGACGGGATTTTGTGATTGCAGACAAACGGGTTGTTTTATTTTCCTGTCAAGCGGTTTGATAGACTCAGGGTACGTAAACAAGACCACGATGCGCTTAAAGGGGCGGTTGATTATGAGTTCACTTTTCTAACTGTAGTTGTAATGTTGCTGTTTGAGCATAAACAACATCTGCAAAGTTACACACTCAAAGTTCAGAGCAAAGGGAGATATTTTCTTTTAAATAAATCGTTTTGATAGGAACTACACGAGCTTCCTCCTGGGTTAGTGACATCACCAACCCTAAAATGTACATAAACCCCGCCCCCTGAACACGATTTATAGATTATCAAGACAGAATGCTAATCAATGAGAAGATAACTACACATAAGCTGCATAAATTCATCAACTAACCACTCAGAAATGCCCTGTTGCTTTACATTATTGTCTGACTCCGTTTGAACATAAACATTGACATTTTCAGTGCGTGTCTGTGTGAGGTAGCCTGGCTAACGTCAGACCACGTCTCATTGACATTGAGACGTGGTCTGGGAACCACATGTTCATTTTCTCGTATTTGAGGCGTGGTTTACGAATGCCCAGAGCCGTTTATCGGGTGCTACGAATGTCTATCAAATGCGCCTGTACGTAGCCAATCGTTTCAATTATACCAGATGACGTATGTAGAGCGACAGAAATTAGACGAGGAAGAAGACGATGGGTCAGAGATTTATTCGCGTTCTAAACTACTCAGAACAATATCTAAGGCTGCATCGAAAGGTAACTTCGCGTCTGCTGCCATGTTTGATCCATAGGTATAAACAAACTGCTTCGGTGTGTCGCATAGACGTCGTCATCGTCTTGCTGCTCCCTCCCCGTTCTGTGATTGGTCCCCTCGCTGAGGTGAAAATTTGGTCCATGGTATCCAGACTACCAGTGGTGTAGTCTAGTTTTTTGTAGTGAGTATACTGTGATATACAAGCCCCCCCCCCCCCCCCCCCCCCCCCCCCCCACACCCATTTTCTACTGTTTAGTGTAAATCGCCATCTAAATCAGCCAGTAAAGAGCTACATTTAGCCTTAGATGTTATATCGTCCCTGAAGCACAGGTTTTATCAGCTGACAATTAAAAGACTTAAACAGTATAAGCACAAATAAAAATTTACTTTTTAAAAACTTGTGTGATATTCCTTTAAAATTATGTTTTAATAGATTGGATTATTGTTATTTTAAAAAGTACATCTTACTATGCAATTTCTTTCATAGTTTCCTCGTGTAACTTTATTTCTCTCTACAAACTTTTATTTTGGTGGGTTGTAAATTAAAGACATTTGAGCTTCTGTGTGTTTTAATAAACTATTATTATTATTATTAGGCCTACTTGAAGTATACTCTACTGTGCAATAGTAATATATTTCTGTTATATTTTCTTCAAGTTATACAAAACTTTGTTTTTGACAGGTTGTCATGAAGACTTTAAAGTTTGTGAGTGTGTATGATACGAATGAATGAAGATCGTTTTATCAAATGAAATGGTAAAATTCTTGTGAAGTGACTCTCATAAAGGCTCTGCAATGAAGTTCAAATGTGTGCATGTCCTCCTCATAGACGCTGAAAACACCATGAGTGTCACGGGCGCTTCAGTAGTAGAGCACACATTGAGCGCTCATTCACAGAAACACTCGAGATTTGATTATCATTACTTTTGATTTGTTCATTCAAAAATGGCCAAATTGCGCGACGTTCCGCTTTACAGTAGGCTAAGTTACATTTGTTGCTGGATTCCGCGATTC